CGAAAAAAGCTCTGCCTCCGAATCATCCAGATTTGGCTACTTCCTACAACAATATCGGTGGAGTGTATAACAACATGGGTGACTACTCGAAAGCACTTGAATATTCTAAAAAAAACTTGGAAATCAAAAAGCAAGTTCTGCCTGAGAATCATCCTGATTTGGCTTTTCCATACAACTGGTTCGGAAAGATTTATCGCAGTATGAAAGATTATCCAAAAGCACTTGAGAATTTCGAAAAATGTCTTGCAATATTTCAAAAAACGTTGCCTGAAAGACATCCCAATCAAGCTATTACATATAGTAATATTGGTGATGTTCATCGATTAATGGGTAATTATGAAAAGGCACTTGAATTTCATCAAAAAGCATTAGATATTCAAGAAAATGTTCAATGTAATCCTCTGGACTGTGCATTGACATATATAAATTTAGGTGAAACTTATCGTGAAATGAAAGATTATTCAACAGCATTGACATATTTCGAAAAAGGATTAGAAATACGTGAAAAGAAATTACCAAAAAATCATCCTGATTTAGCTGTTGTATATCATAATGTGGCAAAATTATATTTGGCTACACGAAAATATAATATGGCAATGAAAAATATTCAACAAGCAGTTGAAATAGCTCAAGAAAAATTACCTTCAACTCATCCTCATCTTTTGGAATATAAAGAAACATTTGAAAAAATTCGAAAGAAAATGTAATTTATTTTTTTTTCGTTTACTTGCTCAATAAATTGGTTTTGATTCCTTTTCACTTCCCGACTTTTCTAAGCTCATTTTCACGCGTACGCGCGCGCGCGCGACCAGGGAGAGGCCCTATAGGTATGAAACGGGTACACACAGAGCGGGCCACGCCGGACTGGTAGGGCAATGTACATAGGTGTGCCGTACATAATGACGGCAGGGACCTATGTACATTAAAGGCCTTCCCGAGTACTACACTGCTTTCGCCATTCCATGACGAATAGAATCTATCTCTGGATCAGGTTACGAAGCCACCTGACAAGGCTGTGATATAAATTGGTATCTATCTTCTAACATAAATAACATAGACTTAACATAATAACTCTATACACTAAATGTGTACAACAACGAAGAAAAAAATTATTTCATCCGAAATAAATCATCTATATCTCATTCTAACCTTATCTCAATGTAAGTATTATTATGAAAATTTAATTTAGAATTGTTCTTTCAACTATTAATTTATTTGTTCAAGTCTTTCTCAAGATAAATAAGACAATTTTTGAAGCAACATACCCAATCTTGTTATTGGTATAAATCAATAATAAATCATATTCTTTTTTAACATTCTCATGGTTTTTATAATTTCATATACTTCATTAAAAAAAAAGCAGATGAATTCTAAAAACATCATAGAATAAATTTCTATCATAAATCAATACATCCTAACATATATTATCATTGAAATCAAAAATATTGTAAAAAAATATGAATCATAATATAACATCATTGAATGAATGAATTTCATTATAAATTAATGCATTGTAAAACAATGAATTTAAATAACATCATTCAATAAATTTCATTCTAAAATAAAAGATTTTAATATAATATTATTCAATAAATATCATTGTAAGTAATGAATTTAACAACATAGAATAAATTCCATAGTAAATTAATATATTTTTATATAATATCATTCAATAAATATTATGGTAAATTCATGCATTTTAACATAATATTATACAATAAATTTCATTGTAATTTAATACAATATAATGCATCATAAACTTACATATTTCATTTAAAAATAATGCATCTTTATATAGGGTGTCCAGAAAATGACTAGAGTTAGAAAAAATTGCATATCTCTCTGCTACGGCTCGAGCAAACAGGCTGATTTTTCTACCAATAATAGAAGCATGTTCACACTTTAAATCCATACAGACAAGATTAGAAAGAGCCTTTGTTAAGTACCACCAACGACCTCAACAAAAAAATTTTACTTTTTCACAGATAAGAAAAAAAACAATAGACTTAACAAAGGATCTCTCTAGGCATGTCTTTATGAGTATAAAGCTTGGACATGCCTCTATCATTGATAAAAGAATCAGCTCTTTTGCTCGAGCCATAGTGAAGATATTCAATTTTTTTGCGGCAAAGTGACTTTTGCGCTACTCCGTATAGTGTTCTTTTCCTATCTGTGAAAAAGTAAAATTTTTTTTGTTGAGGTCGTTGGTGGCACTTAACAAAGGCTCTTTCTAATCTTGTCTGTATGGATTTAAAGTGTGAACATGCTTCTATTATTGGTAGAAAAATCAGCCTGTTTGCTCGAGCCGTAGCAGAGAGATATGCAATTTTTTCTAACTCTAGTCATTTTCTGGACACCCTATATAATATGATTCAATAAATATCATTGCAAGTAATGAATTTAACAACATATAATAAATTTAATTGTAAATTAATACATCTTAATATAATATGATTCAATGAATATCATTGTAAATCAAAACATTTTAATCCATTATGAAAATTGATAAAATTTCATTGTAATATAATGCATTTATTGAATTGTACAGAAATGAATTTTAATAACACCCACCCCTAGATTTCGTTCTAAAAAAAATGCATCATTATATAATATCGATCTGTAAATATCATCGAAAATTAATGTATTTTAATTCTTTGCGTCCCAAATTATTTCTGCTGGACACTGACACGTCCAGATAAAAACCAACATGCTCGCATACGGATTCACGTGCGCACACCTATACACCCATATCTACAAACTCGACACCACCCACCACATCCACACCGTTGAACATTCTTTATTGCTATATTCCAGTAAATTACATAATAATTATTAAACATGTATAGATTTCTTTTTCCTACTATAGAATTCAAATGTTTAACATAACATTATGTAACAAATTTCATTATAAATGTATATATTTTCATACATTATAAACTCATACGTAGCATTGTAAATATATTTCATTTATAATATTGTAAATAATTATAAATTGATAACTGTATGTCATTGATAAAAAATCATAATGTAAAATAATACTAATTATTGTAAGTAATATAAAAAATTGTAAATCGTGAAAAATAAATCATGTGAGTGTCATGTTTTATCTTTATTGAGCATGCTCATGATTTGTTCGATCGAATCGTATGAGAATACTGGTGAAAATGTGTTTCATATATATATATGTTTTTAAACATACATTGCCAATCAAAGACATTTTAATGATGTTGATATCAATTTGACGAACGATAATTGACGATGATGTGCACATTCGAATGTAATTGATTTGATTCATCATCACATGATTAATTGAAATGATGAGACACGAATTAATTTCATCGTTTTTCATGTGCATAGATGTGAATACTTGTTCTTTGTTCATATACAGTCCTTCATGGACAATACATATTCTTTTCTTTCTTTTTTTTGGATCAGAAGAAATTTCTATTCATCATCATCATCATCGAAAAAATAAAAGCAATTAATTTCAATCATAAATCATAGAATTATTTTTTGGTACGACTTTTGAAAATTGATTAGAGTGCATTATTCAAATGAACATATTTATTTTCTTGGAAACACAAGATCAACAAGTCTGTTGAGTACGACTGCACTGTCATTATATGAAAACTCGTTAAGACAAAGTCAAATAACTGTATAGAAAATTAAAAAGTTTTCATAAAATTCGATTTCTATCCCATCGAATGAATATTTCTGTTGAAATTAAATCACTAATAGGGTGTGGGTGTGAATGAAGAACATAGACACACCCACCAACTTGTGTTGCTTTGTTTTTTTTTGACGAATTCCCTTATATTTTTTGTTCCTAATACAAACAATTGAATGTCAATTATTATTAGTATAAAATGAGTTTTACTTATTTGGAACTCGACAACAAGATTTCTATGATCAATATTCATCATCATACAATGATTCACATTATTGGCATGAAAATAATTCAAATTCATATGATTTTTATGGTTCAACATCCATCTCATACAATTTTACAACAAAATGGTTTTACTCAACAAATTTATCTTAAATATGAACAAGAATGTCTTGATGGTAAAAAAAAAACGTTGATTGTAGAGAAAAAAAAGATTATTAGTTCAGTACATATTTACAATATTTCGAGAGAAACAAGCTACTGGTAAAAAAAGATTGAAATTATGCCACATTGAACGTAAAGAAAACAAGTCTCTTAATGAATAAAGAACAGTCAACATACCTAAAAACAACAGCGAAAACTACTCTCCGGTAAAAATCAGAGTCTAAAAAGACTTATATTCTTATTTAAATAGCCAATAGAGAATATGTCTGATGCTATAATTTTCAAAAAAAAAACAAAGATTTGACTCTTTTATGGAGTTTTTTTAATAAATACTATCATTCTTATCTACATGATAAATTTGAAAAGCAATAAAATAATCGTCAATGATTAAAAACACTAAGTTTCACTAATCGTCAAACTTTATTATTTCATAGAAAATATTTATAATCTAAAGTTATGTTGATTTACAAATAAGATACATTTTGTTTTCTGTAAAGATCTAATTTCTAGAAAGCGTTAAACTTGGTCCTGGTCAATCAATGGAAATGGATACACTGTCGTTTTTAGTCATTTTTCTTATGAAAAATAATAAGAAAAAAATTGAATATTATTATTTATGTATAGATATGGTGTTGAATGTCTATTTCGATTTTATACATATGATCTAGAAAAACATTTTCGTCAACATGTATTTGAAGATTTTCAACATGAAACTCTTTGTAATCATGAAGCTGGTAATAAAAAAGATTACACAAAAAAAAAAAAGAAAAGTGCCAATAACAAAAATAATTTTTCTATTTAGGTCAATTATATGGTTTAGAAAAATTCTGGGCATTTTTAAAATATTCTCGACAAAAACCAAAAATCAATCCAAAACTTGAAGAAATTTTAAAAACTATAAAAATCTTGAAGATTTTCGTGTTGATGGTGCATCATTTCCACAACAATTTTTTCCAACAAAATCAAATTATAGTAATTGAAAAACATTGTTTTTTTTCTATTATATAAATAATTTCTTTATAGACTGTTCCAGTATCCGAAGCAATTCAAATTCATTAAAACCCAATGGTGAACAATATCTGAACGGTGCTAAACTTTATACAGGTTTTGCTTTTCTTTTATTTTGTCTAAAATAAAAAACGGTGCTCACATTTTTTCAAGTGGATTTCGATTTATTTAAAAGTATGCATGTATTTTTTTTTTGCTTTCAAAGTTTATTGTTATTTAATCTTTTTCTATGTATATATTACATTGGTTTGTTATTGTAGTAGATAGATAGATTAAATAGTGATGCATTTTCTTTTTCTATCGATAGAGATATGAAGAATTTTCATATGGTTTCGTTTTGTTTCTGGAATTATTTGTTAACAAATTCATCTCGTTTATTTAATAATATTGGTAAGATATTGAGATAATATTTTATTTCGATAGAAGAATTTAGCGTTTTAAGAAGAATTGATATTGGTTTAGGTATTGGTGGTGGTGTGATGAATTCTATATTTTATAATGGTAAATAATGAAAAGATCAAAAAAACAAACTTGTTTTCTTTAAATTTAAATATATTCTAGTTGATGATGGTCATCGAGATGTTATTTTTGATCGTTTTCAAGGTGTTAAACTAGATGTTATTGAAGAAGGAACTCATTTTATGATTTCATGGCTTCATAGACCAATTATATTTGATATTCGTACACGACCACGATCTGTTCCATCAATACCAAAAATAAAAGGTGTGAAAGCTAGAAGAGAACAGTCAACTTCAGGAGAGAGGTGAACATGGGGAAAATGTAAGCTCGCGAAAAAAGGAAGGTAAATACGATGTCTATTGAAACATCAATGAATGTATATAGCTGAGGTATCTTAAAAAATTTTGCGGTCATCGATGGCGACTCAACTGATCGGTTTACACCTCTACACTTTCATCATTCACCAATCTTAGGATACTTCATAAAACTTAAAACTGGAAGTCTCCGTTATTTTTTCTTCGTATAAATGAGATATGCATAAATTACATTTTATTATTTTTATTTTAGATTTACAAACAATTAATATAACATTACGTATTCTTTATCAACCAAGAGCTGAATTTTTACCAAAAATGTTTTGCAAATTTGGGTTTAGATTATGAAGAACATGTTTTACCATCGATTATTAATGAAGTTTTAAAATCTGTTGTACTAAGTCTCAATTTGATGCTATTGAATCGGTTACACAACGTACACTTATTTCTCAATGTGTTAGTGAATTATTAACAGAACGTGCTGCTCAATTTGGTTTGTTACTTGATGATATTTCAATTGTAAGATACAACAAAAAAGAGTCTCGAGTTGATTATATTGTTTTTTTTCTTTAAATTAGACACATTTAAGTTTTAGACCTGAATTTACAAGTGCTGTTGAATTAAAACAAGTTGCACAACAAGATGGTGAAAAACAACGATATTTAATCGAAAAAGTAAATGAATAAGAATAAATTTGTATGATTTTTTTGATAAAAAAGAACCAAGCTGAACAAAGTCGTCAAGTAAATGTTATTGCAGCAGAAGGTGATGCTCATACAGCTGATTTGATTGGGAAAGCTTTAGATGAAGCTGGTGATGATAAATGTTCGAATATCTTTTATTATCATGTCTTACTTTGTTTTAATATTCATGTTAGGTTTGATCGAACTTCGACGAATTGAAGCCGCTGAAGGTATTGCAAATCAATTATCAAAATCAAGAAATATCGTCTATTTACCACATGGTCCTCAAATGTTACTTAATATTACTGGTGCTATGCAATAAAAATATTGTTTTTTGTTTTCATAGTAAACTAACGAGATTGATTTAGGAAAATAAAAAGAACATATAAGAGTTTTTTTTTGTAGGTGTGCATGTGTGTTTATAAACTATTGAGAATACTAAAGCATTGTATTGTCCTATTTTTTGTTCGATTAAAGAAAAAGAAGATCAGATCAACAATTCTCTAGATGATATTAAAGATTCGAGTACGATTGAAATGATGAATGTCGATAATCTCTTTCAACATTTTATATTAACTCAATCATTTGTACGTGGTTGGGCAAATTCATTTCATTTACAAGAAATTTTTACCGATCGACGTGAAAAAATTGATGTAAGAGATGAGTGTTTAGAACTTGTACCAGCTGAAAATGTACAGGAAAATACTGTTGAAATAATTAAACAAGAAACAAAAAGGTAATCAAAATTATATAAATGCTCGATTTCGTTCACCATTTGCCAATTATTTACCACATTTGGTAAGTAATTCAAATTATTTTAATCACTTAATTAATATTATCTTTTTTCTTTTGTTATATTTATTTAAATAGGCTCTATCTCAAATAGCTACAGCTCATTTTCAACTTGTTCTATCACGTGATCATCGTTTTGGTATTGATTCAATTCCAATAGGAATTTGTTATGCTGGAACAGGTGATCATGGTTTTAGTCGACGAAGGTTATTTACTGCAGTCCCATTAATTAATCAATGTCCTATAGGTTCAATTCTTCTTGAAAATCCATATTATGGTTTAAGAAAACTACCAGATCAATCTCGTTCATCATTATTGTATATTACCGATTTATATATTATGGGTAAAACACTTGTCTTACTTCATTGGTGTCAAAAAATGAAATTAACATAGCTATTCTACATGGTTTTTCTCTTGGTGGACATATGGCTTCATTAGCATTTACAAAGTAAGATTCAATTCTATTATTTGATCTATTTAATGAATGGATATAGAGTATCTATCATAATTTCAAAAAATGATTCAAGTAGAGCAAACCATATTACAAAAAGAATATAAATTAAAAACATTGATTATTTTATTCCCTAAGTTAGGATTTTTTTAGACAACCCCTAGACTTCTTTCAAAGCAAATCTATCCGGTAAGGTTTTTAGAGTGAATTGCTAATTGTTAGGTCTATATTCAAACCATTAATGAGAGGTCGAAAAACCTGCACAAGATTCACATGTTTACAATTTATTATTCGGCAGTTATAGATATACTAGTTGAAGCTATAATAAATTTTTCTGACAATTTTTGTAAAAAGCAAGTTTTTTTTTACTATTTTCCTTTTGATAAGAAACCATATTTCCACACATAGAAAATTGATTAAATAAATTTGAGAGAAGATGCTAGAAATAAATCTAATAAACGGTTTGACGCACATCGTCATCTTCTCGTTTCGAAACAAGCCAAAAGCACAGCTCTCTGCCTTGTTTATATGAAAACGTTACTCAAAAAATCTCCACTAAATAGACATTACTATTACCGTTACATTTTAGAGAAAAACAAATCTTATCTTCTTTTTTATTATTAGAATAATGAGAGGCATGCTCTTTTTACTCAACTTTTATCTAAAAAGTTTAGAAAAATAGTTAGAAAAATCTTTCTATATAGAGGCTGTCCCATAAATACGATGGCAATAAGAAATGAAAATCTCTTCGTCTAGATGTTTACCAAACGAGCTCAAATTTTGACCAGTCATACGAGCCATATTCAAACTTTATATTGATAAAGACATGCATAGAGAGAACCACTCTTAACTATATTATTTTTTTTTCTTGTATTTGTGAAAAAGTAAAATTTTTGTGTTGAAGTCAATAATGATAGTTAAGAAGGATTCTCTCTATGGATGTCTTTATCAATATAAAGTTTGAATATGGCTCGTATGACTGGTCAAAATTTGAGCTCGTTTGGTCGACATCTAGACGGAGATATTTTCATTTCTTATCGCCATCTTTTTTATGGGATATCCTCGACGCTTCGATGCGTTCTCATCTCCTCGTTTCGGTCAGTGGAAAGTCCAGGTCTTTATCTCATTCCTATAAAAAGTTATTCAAAAAATGATCACGGTCATTTATCTCTGAAATGAACATTATTCCTTTATAAAAAAAAGTATTAACTACTCTTAGAAAAACAAATCTTTCAGAATAATTATCTATAAGAGTTGAAAACAAATTAACTAACCTCGTTGAGTCATAGATTCCTTGTTGTTTGCTTTTTCGAGAGAATTGTCGTCCTCGACCTTAATCCAAAAAGTAACTACTCATTATTTACCTATATATCTATCTATAATCACCTTATGTTCTACGCACATATTCATTGAATATACACTGAAAGAACTCATTAGTTTATTGCAAAGAGACTTGGCCCATAGATAAAACATGGTTGTTGGTTAGCCAGTTTAAGAAGATTTTCATTTGTTAGCCATATTTGTCTAGATCCATGAGAATAGTTTGATAATAGAATAAGACAACTATTCTTATTTATTTAATAAATACATATTTGCCCTGAACACAATCAGTTTATACTTAATTATTCACAATATTTAATAAATATCTGTTTTTCTTGGTTTTTTTTAAAGGAAAACGTGAAGAATTTCCTATTGAATTTGCTTGTGAAACTCTTCATGATAAATTCAATTAGGTTTAGATATTATTTATAAAATATAGGTAATCACGTAAATATATATGATTTAACTGAGTCAATAAATAAATAAACGATATAGAAATTCTTATTTAGAATTTCTAACCTTTAGAATAAAACTATTAAGATGGATCAATCGTTCAAGTATTCTAATCTTATATTAAATATTGATAATTAATATGATTTGCTTATTTTTTTTTGTTTTTGCCAGTTTGATAGAAAAGCAATTGAAAATCTCTGATTAGCTGTTCAAAATCTGGATATATATTTCTTAAAGAAATATTCTTCATTTAAAAATCAAATTTTTTATCAT